TTATAGAGATTAAATTTTTTTTCTTTTGAGGAATCAAATTCCATCTTAGATGCTAGACACGTTCAGGAACCTAAAGAAATCATCCCGCTAGCTTTTTGCATATGAAATCATCTCCTAAGTTTTTGCTAATTGTTTGATAATCAGTTAGCGACTCGAAAAACGTGCAAGATTGAGGAAACATGAAAACCTCGCTACCATAATCAAATTGAATGTAGTCACTAGTAAACTTGCAGTAATTGAGCCAATTCCACAGACCGAAAAACCATATGCATTTCCTGAGGATGGCTTTCTTCTAAGAAACAATCCCAGGCCAAAATTTCGCTATTTGAACTTTGTTGAAACACAGCAAAATTTTTAAAGTTTGCAGCAGGTTAAACAGATGAACAGTGCATCTACTACACATATGTTAATATCTACATTGTTCAGTTCTGTTTCTAAACATGTAATTTTAGTATCTAACTTGTTTCGCTAATAAGAATTTTTAATGCACCGAGATTGCATGTCTTGCATCACAATAAAAGATTTTTCAGAAGGTGTGTATAATCCTTTCTTTCTTTCTAAAACTCTGCTCATTGAAAGTCAGGGACAAAGTTAATAGTTAGTCAGATTAGCCTAAAAACACAAGAAAAAAGGGTAAAATGCATCTGTCAGACGCATCCGCCATGAATGACGGCGTTAAAATTTCTAATGCGTGCACTAAGTATTCAAATGAGTTTGAGTTTGGTAATTTTAACCACACAAGAACATATGTATTGTTGGAATAGTTTGTCAAATGAAATAGAAATGTAGCTTGTTGGAACAAAGAAACTCAGAACCTTTGGACAAAACTAGAAACAAAAATGAGTTTGAGTTTTGTAATTTTAACCACACAAGAACATATGTATTGTTGGAATAGTTTGTAAAATGAAATAGAAACATGGCTTGTTGGAACAAAGAAATTCCGAACCTTAGGACAAAACTAGACACAAGATCCGTGAGTGGATCCTTGAGGTTGAGGATCCCTCTGTGGATCCAGATCTGGCTATGGATCTAGGCTTGGTGAGCTGAATTCTAGCAACGGATTGAGTCCAAGGAGCTCTGTATTCTGTGGTCACAATGTGCAAAGCAAATTTGGTTCCAAGCAAGAGTGATCCGTCCGAGACGCTGAGGCTCTTTTAGCATAGTGGATCCACGACCAGATCCGCAATTGTGAAGGTGGATCCATCCGCAAAAAAGTTTCTGAAATGGTTTTGACACTTTCTATCGAACAAAGGATGTTAAGTGCTGCCTCTTTTTTTTTTTTTTTTTTTTGTCAAATTAAGTGCTGCCTCTTGATGTCCACGAATGTGCATAAAAAGTGTGAAATAGCGGTTGAATAGCTTGTGACCGTTTGTAATTTTCACTATAAAACAAATGACAAATCTCTAACAAATCAAACTACTAGAACTTTCGATCTTTTCTCTGTAAGAGGAAATTGTGATCACATGAAGGAAATTAAACCAAGTTATTTTTGTATTTTAGTTCCCTAATTCTTTTTGGTATCTTATTTGTTTAGTTTCCATATTAGATTAGGAAATCTCAAATCAGTTTCCAAATAAGTTTTGGTTCACAATTATATTTGTTTTAGAGTCTATAAATACTACCACTCTAGTAGATTATTAATTGAAGTGGAGAGTTGATTTGAGTCTAAAGATTAGACTTGAAAGAAAATCTTATAATTGAAATTTGTGAATTGTTGTGAGCGAAAGGATACGACTTAGTATTTGTTACTATTAAGTTTTGAGTAAAATAAATTATTGAATATTTATTCTCCTCCTCTTTTCATATATTTTTATATATGTAAAAATTACTTCCGCTCATCGCGCGGGATTTTTCGTGCCAACACCACCACAAACCATTTAACCATATTGACTCACAAGTCACAGCTGATTGCATGCATCGACCCAGAGCCTAAAGGTGAAAGTTCATATGCACTTCCAGCATCTTTTTCAATCCCACCAAGAGTGCATTATTGAACTGGTCCACTGAGTGAATTATTGCTTTAGACTTTAGGGCATAGACACAGTTTTAAAATTTAAAATGCATCTAACAAAATGCGTCTAGCTGTCTGCCATGGATGACTATGGTTGTAAGTTTCTTTTCAATCATGACCATTAACTGTTCAGGACCATCCCTGCCCCTTGTCCATTTGTCATCATCCTTCTTTCTCTTGAATCTGTCAAGAAATTTGATTAATGTTATGTAGAAATTGGATGAATCTGTAGTCAACTGAGTAACAGTGGTGGGGTTTAATACTTTCTTGATCATGCTTGTTTCATCAACTATGATACCCTATCCGAATGATTTGTCTATACTATATGACTAATGTATTTGATAAAATCTATTACATAGACATGTAAAAATTAAATATCAACATTATAATAAAACATATTTAAATTACATAACCACCATAATCAGAACAAGTAGTTATTCCTGTACCTTCATAGAGCGGTATTTTCCACAACATAGAAATTGAACTTCATTTTTTTTTTTTTTTAAAGAATCGAATCCCATCTGAAGTGGTCAATTTTAGACGTTCAAGAACCTAAAGAAATCATCCTACAAGCTTTTTGCACAAGAAATCATCCCACAAATTTATGTTAATTGTTTGATACTAAATTAATTAACGACGGACCTTGCCTGCCCTCCTCCCTCCCAAAAATTTTTCGAAACTTCTATATAGAGTACTAGATTTAAGTTTGAACTCTATAATTTTACCCCGACAGCAAGTTTCTTTTGATCAATTAACATGTTTATCTCCAATAATTTCTCATTTAATTTCTCTTTAAAAATGTGTTTTTATAATAAGTCATTCTAGTTTCCTTATATATACATATATATATATATATATATATATATATATATATATATATATTAAATTTCATTACTATAACTTTAATGTATTTAATGCATCCTTACGTTAGTTATGACACGGAAACAAATAATTGAAAATAAAAGGAAATTTAATCATGTTAAAAATTATATTTGCATATGATTGATTTAATGTATTAGTCAAAAGCTAACACCTAAACAAACAAGCAAGCATTGATCTTTTCCCAAATTCGTTCGACTCATCTCAAACATCCATCCTTCCCAATTGGATAACAATGGTGGGGTTTAATACTTTCTTGACCATACTTGTTCCATCAACTATAACAACCTATGCGAATGATTTGTCTATACTATAGGACTAGTGTATTTGACAAAAATTATTACATAGATAAAGTAAAAATTAACCTTCAACATCATAATAAAACATATCTAAACTACATAACCATCATAATTCCTCTACTCTCACCAAACAAATTACCTTATCGAGCAGTATTTTCCATTGTATAGAAATTAAACTTTCTTTTTGTTTTTTCTTTATAGAATCGAATTCCATCTTAGGCGATCAATTCAGGCACTTTTTTTTTTAGACATCCAGGAATCTAATCAGCCCACAAGCTTTTTGCTCAAGAATCATCCCACAATTTTTTGTTAATTGTTTGATAATCAGTTAATAACTCTTAAACAGTGCAAGACTAATGAGACATGAAACCTCACTACCATAACCAAATTGAATGTAGTCACTTGTACACACATGCACTGCGCCTACGACCTGTGGACCAAAAGTTATATGCAATTCCCTAGTTTTTAAGTTCTACTCCTCTCCTGTTAACAAAAATTAAAAAGAAAAAATAAGAGTAGGAGTAGATTAAAACTTATCGTATTTAAAAAATAACAAAAAATAAAAAATTTATCAGAATGTGTGCTAAAACCTTTATCCCTTTCTAAATCTCTGCTCAATGAAAAATAGGGACAAAGTTAAAAGTTAATCAAATTAGTCTAAAAAAAATTTAAAAAAAAATCTAAAATGCATCTAACAAAATGCGTCTAGCTGTCTGCCATGGATGACTATGGTTGTAAGTTTCTTTTCAATCCCATCCAAAGTGAATTATTAAAATGGCCCACTAAGTTCATTATTGGGTTTGTTTGGAATGGTAAATTATTTTAAATAATATTTTACTTGTATCATAAACACATTTTTCAATCCATATTTTTATATTTTTAACCATTTTTTTTATCTCATATACATCATATCACAAAAAATGCTACAGTAATTATTCCAAATAATATTTCAAATAATACACTATCCAAAGATTCAGTCAAGCTTTTATGCGTTTCAGACTCTGCTTAGTTGTTTTCTTCGTGCAAGTCTGTCTACTCGTGAAGAAGAAAGTAGAAAAAGTTAGCATATAACAAATGAGTGTAAATGCAAACTGTAGTTTTTCAATGCCAGCCCAATTAGTAAATGCAAGCTGTTGTTTTTCGGAGTTAGATGCTGAGAAATTGAACTCTAGCTTCCTTTTTTTTTATTTTTATTTTTCCTTTTCTCGATGGAATTGAATTCCACCTTAGATGTTTACTGTCAAAAAAAAAAAAAAATTTCCACCTTCAACGGTCAATTCACAATTCACACATTGATCCTTCGTAGACATTCAAGAACATTGAAAGTCATCCCATATTATTGGCTTTTGTTTAAGAAACCGTCCTACTAGCTTTTGCCCGAATATTTGGCATCTGATTTTTTACTCAGCAGTAAGATGATTTTAATCTTCTAAAAAAAAGTAATATTTGGGAATTAATTGGTACATATTATTTATTATCTCTGTCATCTGGATTTTCTAGCTTTAGGAAGCTAAATGAAGTAGTACACTTTTCTAAAGCATTGTGAACTCCATCTAGCCATAACTTCTTTTGGGAAATTCTATTACTTCTGAAGTGAAGTTCAAAGAAAAGGAACTTCCAAAGCAGTACCAAAAATCTGCTGACTATGAATTTTAGAAGTATTTTCCACCCAAAATTCGGCTGAAATGGTAGGAAAAGAAGAAAACTTTTTAGAGTTTACTTTTACAATATGACAGCTTTACCCTTAAAAGGTTCATAGGGAAAAATTAAATTCCCCCTGATTTCTAGCTTCCGTATGAAGCCCACTCAATCAAAAATTCATCTCACACTTCCTTCTCTTCACAACAGCCTCTGACACTGCTAGAGAGAAAAAAGAGACCATCTTTTTGCTCCAAGACCAGGTAATAATCTTCTCTTTCATTGGTAGTTTCTTCATATTACGGGTACATTGACTTGGGATATATGAAGGAATTCCATTTTTGTCTTATCAATTTCCACAATTGCTAATGAATGAAATCTAAAATTTTACATGTATTAGTTGTTTACAAGGTACTTGATTGTGCTTTTTGTATACTTAGATTAGATAAAATCCATCACTTGATGCCTAATCGAACAAGAGTGGGTAGAGTGTGAGATATTGTACTGTAAGTCTGTAACCACAGGTGAAGACCAATTCAAGCAGAATAAGAAATTTTTTTCTCCCCCCGAATTCATTACAGTGTAGTCTAAGAAGATTCAGCTCATAGTAATAGGATATCAGAAAATTTCTTTTGCATTACGCTTAACAATTAAAGTTGTAATTGCTATTTTGCCAAAAAAATTCAAATATTATTAAAATTGTATTATAAACACAATTTTTAACCATCTTTTTATCTTATACGTCATATCATAAAAGTACGACAGTGTTATTCCAAATATTCTCCTATCCAAACACATCTATTGTTTGAAATATATTTCCACTACTACTATAATGGAACTAATTATGATGGTTTTTGCTCAAGAGGATATAAAACCTTCTTGTTATTATTGAACCAATGTCACCATTTTTCCAGTTTATTGCATTTGATTTAATGCTGAATAAAGTTGGTGGTTCCACATAGAAAATCACTTTTATCTATTCCTTTTGCGGCGTGCTCCTTCGGGATGAATAAAGTTGGTACATTAGCTTTTGATCTATTTGTGGTTACAGTTTCAAATGTCTTCTGCTTTACAAAACTATTTGTTAGCAATTTTCTTACAGTTTCTTTGGATTGGATCTCCTAGTAATGGTGGGTTGTTAATGCACAGTAACGTGATGGCTAGAAAAGTAAAGAATTCATTGCCTTTCCTGTCTATCACATATCTGCTTGTCGGGAACCTTTTCTTCCTTTTCATTTTCCTTTTACTGCTGCAATTCTAATAAGAGTATTCAAAAGCTTAAAAACCACCACCAATTAGTAGACTTCAGTTTCATCTACTGCTACATTCTACTCTTCCTCTCACATTCAAAGTTGCAAGTTGCCCGGTTCCATTCCACACTGTCAAACCTATCAAATTCTTTCTTTCTCCCAGATATCGACCTGACCTGATGGCGGATGCACTGCTCGGATCTGCAGTACAAGTTCTAGTGGAGAAGGCAATAAATTTGGCTTCCGAACAAATTGGCCAGTTTGTTGGCTTCAAGAAAGATTTGGAGAAACTGAAGGATACGTTGACACTGATCCAGGCTGTCCTCCGTGACGCAGAGAAAGAGCAGGCGACTAAAGAGATCGTGAAGCGATGGCTGGAGAACCTTGAACGTGTGGCTTTCGATGCTGAAAATGTGCTGGATGACTTCAACTATGAGATGATCCGGCGCAAAGTTGAGATTCAAAACCAAATGAAGAGGGAGGTATGCTTGTTCTTCTCACTCTCCAATCCCATTGCATTTCGTTGCAAAATGGCCTGCAAGATTCAAAAAATCAATATGGATTTGAAAAGTATCCATGAACAAGCAACGAAACTTGGCCTCCTCCAGTCACAGAATGGAGCTAGAGATGCACCTGCTCTTTCTCCTCCTAGCGGAGGAGCATTTATAAAGAACAGAGAGACTGACTCTGTTACTGTTGATGCGAGTTTTGTTGGAAGAGATAATGATGTCTCAGCAATAGTAACACAATTGACTGCCACAAATAATAATGAAACTATCTCCGTTCTCCCTATAGTAGGGATGGGCGGGATTGGGAAGACCACCTTGGCTCGAAAAGTTTTCAATGATACAAAGATTGAAAAACATTTTGACAAGAGAATATGGGTGTGTGTTTCGGAGGATTTCATTGCCAATGGGCTATTTGGAATGATTCTACAATCACTGCAAGGTCAAGAGCCTGAAGCTAAGAATAGGGAAGCCAGAGTCAAGCAGCTTAAGGCATTATTGGACGGTAAAAAATACCTATTGGTCTTGGATGATGTGTGGAATAAGGAGTCCATGCTATGGAATGATTTTCTTGGGTCTCTGAAAGGTACTAGCCAAGCCATGGGGAGTTGGATTCTTGTGACCACTCGTGAGCAACAGGTGGTAGACATCACCAGAATTTCTTTTCCTCAGGGTTATTCCTTGAAACAATTATCAGATGATCAATGTTGGCGCATTCTCAAAGAAAATGCATTTGGTGCTGGGGAAGTGCCCGATGGGTTGAAAGATATAGGGTTGAAGATTGTGCAAAGATGCAGAGGCTTACCATTGGCTACAAGTGTTCTCGGTGGTATGCTGCGCAACAAGGAACCAGATGAATGGCAAAAATTAGAGAGTGGGCTTCAAATTTTAGGTGGAGGTGAAAATAGTAACGTTAATGAAATTTTGAAGTTGAGCTTTGATCATCTTTCACATCCTTCTCTTAAAAAGTGTTTTGCATATTGTTCAATTTTTCCCAAGGATTTTCAAATGGAAAGGAATCAATTAATCCAACTTTGGGCAGCAGAAGGATTTCTTCATTCAAATCCAACAGACGATATGCATATGGAGGAAGTTGGTAACAGGTATTTTACCATTTTGTTGGATAGTAACTTATTTCAAGAGGCAGGGAAGGATGATTATGGGAATGTTTTGAATTGCAAAATGCATGATCTTGTGCATGATATGGTGCAATCCATTTCCAATTCCAAAACTTTAAGGTTGACAGAGTCTGGTAGTGTTGATATGGAAACGTCTTCTATTCGGTATCTTGCATTGGAGAGAATACAAGAAGAAATGACATTTCCTTCCACTAAAAGTTTCAAATGTATTACAACATTGTTTTTGCAGGGAAACATATCACTTAATGATAGGGAGATGTCATTTTTTATGTTGCGAGTTTTGAACTTGAGGGCATCGAGTGTCGAAGAGCTTCCTAAATCAATTGGCAAGCTAACTCATTTGCGATATCTTGATTCATCAAGAGCTTCAATCAATAGATTGCCTGAGTCTCTATGTCAACTTTACAATTTGCAGACATTAAGATTTAAATATTGTGACTCACTGACAAAGTTTCCTAAGAATTTCAAGAATTTGGTGAATTTGAGGCACTTTGACTTTTTCTCTTATCATAAATCAAGTGATATCATGCCTTTTGAGATCGGACAGTTGCAATTTCTCCAAACTTTGCCATTTTTCAATATTGGTGAAGAAAGAGGTCGACAAATTGGAGAATTGAGGAATTTGAAGAATCTCAGTGGACGACTTCAGTTACGTAATCTTGAATTAGTGAAAAGCAAGGAAGAAGCTGAGTCTGCAAATCTGATTGGGAAGCCAAACATTGATGAGTTAAGATTACTATGGAATGAAATAGATAATTCAAGAAATAATGATAGTGAATACAATCGAGTGCTGGAAGGCTTGCATCCTCACCAAAATTTGAAAGGTTTGATTATTGAAAGATTTTTTGGTGATAAACTTTCAACGTGGATTGGAAAACTTGGGAAATTGGTGAAATTTGAATTGCAAGATTGCAAAAACTGCAAAGAGTTACCAACTCTTGGAAACATGCCCTTGCTCAAATCTCTTCAATTGAAAGGACTTGACAGCGTAACAAGTATAGGCCCTTCTTTTTATGGCGGATCTGGCATGCATAGTGGCAGTAGGAGTCAAAGACCCCTAAGCTTGTTTCTAGCACTTGAACTTCTCATTCTAGAAAAAATGCCAAATTTGAGGGAATGGATGGAAGCACCAGTTCACGATGGGACAGTGGTGGTGTTTCCAGTCCTTCATACGGTATGGATTACTGATTGCCCTCAATTAGCCACTTTGCCAAGTCATTTTCCACGTCTCGAGGAATTGGAGATCGATAACACCCAAAATGGATCAGCATTAATGACATGTATTTGTAGCGGAGTCAGCACTCTCACTAGACTTTCCGTTAAGAGTGTGAATGGGCTTGCCAAGCTACCAAATATGTTATTTCAAAACAATCCAAATCTTGCACATCTGAAGTTAGTCAATTGTGGTGATTTGGCCCAATTCTCGGATTTTCCATTTGATGTTCCTCAAACTGTAGAAGGACCAAATTGTCAATCAGTGCTTGAGCACACTGGTACCGACAATAATGCTCCTCAACATTTGGTTGGCCTCGAGTCCCTAGAGAAATTAACTGTTACTGAGTGCCACTCGCTAGAGTCAATTTCAATCCCCAAGGGACGCAGATACCTCACTGCCTTGCGACAATTAAGCATTTCTCGTTGCAATGGGTTAACCCACTTGTCCATCCCCCAAATATCTGAGTCAGAGTGGGGTTCCACTACTTCACGTTTCTCCTCCTTCGGTACTTGTCCTCCTCTTCCTCTCGAGGAATTGTATGTATACAGCTGCCCCAATCTTATCTCCTTTCCAATTGATTTAACCCGAACACCTTCTCTCTCTTACCTGGACATATCACAATGTAAGAAATTAACCGACTTGCCCAGTGGGCAGCTTTGTTCTCTTACAAGCTTGAGATACTTAGAAATCGGACCATTCTCAGAAACCACCGCAGAGTTGCATTCCTTCCTAGTCCTCTTTGATGCTCTCCCACCACTGCACCCCTACTTCCCCTCCCTTTCATATTTACATCTGAGAGGATGGCCTCATTGGGAATCCCTGCCCGAGCAACTTCAGCACCTCTCTGCCCTAACAACTCTTGGACTATATGATTTTGGAGTAAAATCATTACCCGATTGGTTTGGAAAGCTTTCCTCACTTGAACAACTCAATCTCTGTAATTGTGAAAAGTTGGAGAATTTACCCTCTCACCAATCTATGAGAAGCCTCACCAGACTAAGAGAGCTGCAGATTATTATGTGTCCCCTTCTAAAGGAAAGATGAAATCCAGAAAGCAGCAGCAGCAGCACCTACCTCAATTCTGAGTGGTTGAAGATCTCCGACATTCCCATTGATAGGCAGCAAATCAGAGGCTAATCTCCATTTCTATTTTGAGTTCATAAATAATGTCAGTTTCCCCAATAAAAGCTACTAGGTATTCCTCTGTACTACTACACAGTTTTGTGAATTAATTTTTGCTTCTTCTATCCATTTATATTTATTTCTTTTCCCTTGAAAGCTTTTCTTAGTATTGACAGTGGTAATGTATTGATACTGTTTCTCTATCGAATCTTTAATTGTGCAGCCTAACTATTGCCGAATAACTATTGCAAAATCTTTCCTTGGTCCTCTCTGAATTTCTGCTTTCCAGTTAACCTCTCGGTTAATGTGTTTGTGTGTCTTTTTCTCTGAGTTTCCACTTTTTAGATATTCATTTGTGATCTACTACCACTTTTAACTTCCTCTTACTGATCGTATGTTTCAACTTGTTAAAGAATTAACAGTGTCCGAAAGTTGGTTGATGACAGCAATTTTTTGAGACCATACCTGGAATTTATTGCGAAACATAATTTTCGTGTCTGATATGGTTATCCACAACCATTTCCAGTTGCCATATTTATGGAAAATTTCAAAATTTTGCAGTTTTTAGTGGGTGACATAAACTTAACCAACTCAGGGCAGTCACTTAGGCTAATTTTTCACCATATCCAACAAGTATTTTTGATCAAATTTGTTCGGTCTTATTTTCCTTCTACTTTGCTTAAGCACTGTGTGCGTTATGTATCAATCTTTTATGTCCATTTTTTTCCTTAATTTCATTACTGGTCATTTCAGTTAATTGTTAATTCAAATCTAGATTTTTAGGCAGCAGTGGAAGTGTAAAATCTTGCCTTTTGCTCAGACAGATTACGAGACTGCCTGGGCTTCTTTTGAAGTTCTAAAAGTGGTATATTTGGTATGAGTGAGTTTCTGTGTCACAATATTTAGCTACACAAGCTGTTTCGGCGCGCCATTAATGCTTAACAATCATTCTTCCTGGTTTCTCCTTTATTCTGGCATTTTTATAGTCATCCTTGCACAACCCCTATGCATATGAGATTGTAAGGATTGACAACTGAAGTGGCTAACTAACACCACTATCATGTTGAAGTGTTAAGAATGTTTTATACGAGAATGACAGTGGGCAAGCTCAGTGAGTCGTATAGGTACTTATCGGTGTCTTTCTAGTAAAAGCTTTGTAACATAATGAGCAAAAGGATAATGTTTTGTGGCAGTGATGCAAAGCTTTCTATTCAGTTGAGAATTTTCACTTATTAGCTGAAAGCAAGAGGTTTTTACTCCAAATGCTGATTTTTCCCCCTGTCAAAGAATGCACTTCTTGAAGTAAACTGAATTCCCAATGTAAGAAATTTTTCCTCAAAATGCTGATTTTTTTTTTTTGTTTTTTGGACTTCATGAAGTAAACTGATTTCCCTATGTTTACATGGAGATTCTGAACTTAGCATGACTCTGAGCATGATCGTCTTTTCACTTTCTTTGAACAAATTGTAGTAGTACTCGGAGATTGTTAGGCTAATAAGTACTGGACTTGAAAAAGGTCAATATTTAGTGGGATTAGGATAACACACTTTGGGTTTAAATAGTTCTGGTAAATCAACTCTCTAACCTTCTTTGAGGAGCTCAGGACTATTAACTAGTTAATCTGCTATGGCAACATTCACTACTTAAAAGGTTAATCAGTATTTCCCAATTAAAGCTACTCGGTATTTCCCATTCTCGAAATTGTAATTGATGGGGAGCGAATCAAAGGCTAATCTCCATTTGAAGCTCATAAATAATGCTAGTTTCCCAAATTATAGCTACTCGGTACTCAACTGCATAGATTTGTCAATTTGTTTTGCTTGTTCTATCCATCTGTATTTCTTTCTCCTTAAAATATTTTCCTAGTATTGACAGCGGAAAATATTTTCTAACCACTGCACCACTAGTTTTTTGCACTTTTTTATGGATAGCATAAACTTTCCCAATTCGGTGCTATGAATTAGGTTAGTTTTTTCAGCATATCCAATCATGTATTTTTTTTATAAAATTTTTTCATCTTATTTTCTTTCTACTTTGTTTAAGCACTTAGTACATACGTTGTAGACTGAATTTTTTATCTCTAGCTGTATTTTTAATTGCATTGTTGATTATTTCAGTTAATTGTTAATTTAGTTCTGGACTTATATTCAGTAGTGAAAGTTTTGGACTAATAAAGTCTTGCCTTTTTCTCAAACAAGTTATTAGACTTAGAGAAATAATAGCATTACTCGAAGGCAGAGGGTTTTGAGTTTCTCATTTCTTTTAGCATTTATGTATTCAGCCAAGAGTATGCCATATCGAGTTTATGGTTTGAAAATTTGACATAAGCAATGTGTTTGTCAGATTGTTATGGCCGACAATAAATGTAGCCAGCCAGCAAAGTGATAGTTTTTAAGCCATAAGAATGCTCTGCATGAGAATGACCGTGGAGAAGCTTGGTGAGTCATAAAAATATAGATACTTGAGTGTGTCTTTCTGGTAAAAGATTTGTAGTTCAATGAGCAAAGTGAAAATATTTTCAAGCAGTGATCAGTTATGCAAAGTTTTCAGTTGAGGAATTCCACTTATTAGCTGAAACTAAGGGCTTTTTTACTCAAAAATACTGATTTTTTTTACCTGTCAAAGAATGCACTTCATAACGTAAGCTTAACGCACTATGTTCTTAACGTATTATTGTGAACATGCTTTTGATCCTATGTCATGTTCTTTGAAAGAAATTGTAGCAGTACTGGGTGACTGTTAACCTTTAAAGTAATGATTGTGAACATACTTTGCTCCTTAATTTGTTCTGAAATTAGCTCAAGGCCATTGACCAGTTACCTGTTGGAGCTTTTGTATCTGTTGCTATTTATGCTATAGGAACAAATGCTAAAATCTATCTTTCACTACTTGGGACAAAGGTGATCACAATTTTGTGTTGTTTGGCAAAGTATTTGACAACCATCTTATTTTGTGTGTCTGCTTTTATTTTTAATTGTTTTTCAATTTATGATTTTTTTCTTTATATGGTAACAGATATATTGGAACAAAAGTCTTTAGCTATCATGGTTTCCTGTTATATGGTGATCAGATAAGTGCCTACACATTCTTGGCACTTGCAAAATGATGGTTTGTTTGCTAGGTGAGGGCTTTCTAGTTTCAAATAGATCCATCAGGGCACTCCCAAAAGAAACTCTTTCTCCTCCTTTGTATGGAGACAATTTAGGTACAGTTCAGCATTCCTCTAATGCTTTTTCTTTGCTATATTCAATTGTTGTGCAGCTTCTAATGGCGTCTTTTCTTATGTTATAGGCAATACCAAGTTTAGTTTTAGAGTCTACAATGAACCATTTTAAAAACACATGGAATAGTCTAGAGGGCTGAGGGTCTAATAGGTTTTCTTTAGGCTTCGAGCTCTCCAACATGCTGTAACAAAGATTATTTGGCTTGGCTAAGGGGATTCTCATGTATGAGGTAACACTCCTCTTTCTGATGAAAAATTTGTGAGTCAGGAAAGCTTTGTCTGACTTTAAAGACAATTTAAAGGGGTAATGATCTGCCATTCTGCATAATCACATTCACAAGCATCAGGAATACTTCTTTTCAGAATCATCTTCAGACCATCCCCAACAAGGCACCGCTTTTTGTATTTGGATGGGCTATGGGGATTCTCATGCATTAGATAACATTCCTCTTTCAGATGAAAAATTTATGATTCAAGAAAACTTTAATTGACTTCAAAGACAAATTCAAGCAGCAATGCTATTTAATTGTGAAGTTTTTCGGATGATTAAATTGTCAAGTAGCCTTGAAGCAATTGCTTGATATGTCATCCAATTAGAGCTAGTTGGTGTAATAATAGGCAACTTTCTACTTTTTGTTTCGCCCAGTATGCAATGATTTGTAGCTGGTCCTTGATATTACTTGTTTATTTGTGGTTAGCCAACCAGAATATTTTCAGGTGGTTGATCCCTTAGTTGCAGAGTTAGTTCTTATTCTCTAATGAATATATGTGTCCGTTAAACAAAATTAATTGGGGGATTACATTCTTTTATGTTGTGAATTCTCAAATGCAGCTCTGCTTTCTTATGCAGTTGTTTGAGTGCTAAAAATCTGATGAATGGTTCAGCATAAGCTGTTGTCTCAATCTGATGGGGCAAATACTCTAGTTCAAGGCTATTACAAAGTTGATGGAAGAGATGGCATGGTTAATACGCTTCCTTTGCACATCTGATAAAGTTCTCCAACCTGCATTTTCACAAGACTTTGATAATTGTGATTCTTTGAAATGAATTAGATAAATGGACTATGTAGAAGGTCAAAATTTTTATGTAGGAGAGGTACAATTCAATGCTGAGGTATAACATGGAAATCTTGACTCATATCATTCAACCATGAAGTGTTCTGAGAGGAAGGATCAAACTTTTTGGCAATACAGTTCATGTGGAATGCAATCTGCTGGTGAAAGAGAGTGTCCATGCCTTGTAAGGGAACTTGTTATTAAAAATACTTGGTGAGTTACTTTTGCTCTGAAAAAATTCAAATTCCTTTTGTAAACACACTGAAATTAGAAAAACAAATAAAGAGATCAATGAATAAATAAAAACGAAGAAAATGAGCCACCCCAGAGTATTCTGGTTTGCTAATTACAAATAAAAAAGTTAACTTAGAAAATCAGCTATAAGGAAAATATGTAACTACATATATATAACCACTCCATACCCGGTGAAATAAATAATGCCCATTATCTCCACTAAGCAGCTCTGTTGGAAGAAATAGCAAGAAAATGCTATTTAGTTATCAAAAAACATCATTTGTCAAGATTAGTATTTGTAGTCTCTTGCAAATTCAGTGTTTTCAATTATTTAGTGAATTCTTCCAAAATTAATTTTGCAGTTTTCAAAATTGCAATTGTTTAGAAATTTTGGGAAGGATTTGGTACCTGAATGCCACAACCATCCTCTAATGTTCATATCCTTTTTCATTTTATTCATGATTTGTCCTGTATGTTGTTGTGGACTTCTAGGTTTATATTTCAAGAATGCAAGGGCTACTCCTACTGAAATAGGTTGTCTTATCATCTTAGAGTGATTTGAACAAGATCCAAAGTTCAAATACGTTGTTTAGATAGTTTGATCTCTTAGATATGTAGTTTGAGTATGGCCATATTGCAGGTTCAAAAGGTTTTCTCGTGTCAGTAACCTGATGTCAATTTGATTCTTGACAAACTTGGTGCACCTAAAACAGTCGAATGGACTATGGAGAAGGTAAAAATTTTTATGTAGGTGAGGTCGAGTTCAATGCTGGGGTATACATGGAAATCTTGATTCATATCATTCAACCAGGAAGTGTTCTAAGAGGAAGGATCAAACTTCTTGGCAATACAGTTCATGTGGATTGCAATCCACTGGTGAAAGAGAGTGTCCATGCCTTGTAAGGGAACTGTTATTAAAAATACTTGGTGAGTTACTTTTGCTCTGAAAAAATTCAAATTCCTTTTGTAAATATGTTGAAATTAGAAAAACAAATAAAGAGATCAATAAATAAATAAAAACGAAGAAAATGAGCCACCCTAGAGTATTCTGGTTTGCTAACTACCAATAAAAAATTAACTTAGAAAATCAGCTATAAGGACAATATGTAACTTCATAATATATAATCACTCCATACCCGGTGAAATAAATAATGTCCATTGTCTCCACTACGTAGCTTTGTTGGAAGAAATAGCAAGAAAGTGCTATTTAATTATTAAAAAAACATCATTTTTCAAGATTAATATTTGTAGTTTCTTGCAAATTCAGTGTTTTCAAAGCTACGTAGCTTTGTTGGAAGAAATAGCAAGAAAGTGCTATTTAATTATTTAAAAAAATCATTTTTCAAGATTAATATTTGTAGTTTCTTGCAAATTCAGTGTTTTCAATTAGTACTTAGTGAATTCTTACAAAATTTTGCATTTGTTTAGAAATTTTGGGAAGGATTTGGTACCTGAATGCCACTACCATCCTTTAATGTTCATATCCTTTTTCATTTTATTCATGATTTGTTCTGTATGTTGTTGTGGATTTCTAAGTTTATATTTCAAGAATGCAAGGACTACTCCTACTGAAACAGGTTTTCTTATCATCTTAGAGTGATTTGAACAAGATCCAAAGTCCAGATACATTGTTTAGATAGTTTGATCTCTTAGATATGAAGTTTGAGTGTGGCCATATTGCAGGTTCAAAAGGTTTCTGGGGTCATTAACCTGATGTTAATTTGATTCATGACAAACTTGTGCACCTAAAACAGTCGAATGCTAGGTTCCACTTCCACCTAAGGAACTAAAGTCAATTTTAATAACTTGGAAATGGGTGACCTTAATTTAGCTAGCTGGTTACACTCTTAATACTTGTCCTTTTTTTAAAAAAAAAACTTCTCAATAAAAAAAATCTACCATTTCATTCGTTGAAAAACCTAGCATTGATTTATGCTGTTATCTTCTAATAACTGTATTTTACTGATTGTTTTTATGCTGTACTTTCTTTTATTTGCTGCATTTTGGAGTCAGCATGGCTTGCATAAAATTTGTAACATGAAATTCAAAATGCTGTTTACTTAGGCCTGAGGATAGCTCAATATTTTTTGCTCACAAGGCACTTTTTGAACAGAAAAGGCATGGCACCTTTTGAGGAACCTTTGCTATATTATCTAACAGTATGCTATGAGGATATGACTTCCAAGATTTAGGTCTTTAATTGGCCTAGTTGAAGTGATCTTCCGTAGTTGCACTAGAAAAAGTAAGGAGAAAACCTTTTCAGTTGTAGCAATCTACCTAGTCTCTCTCAAAAGGAAGACTCTTGCACTTTAATCGTACACAGAGAAGGTCAAGTTATAATTCACTTTAATCCAATCTACATTGATCATTGGAGTATGCTCATTGTGCAACTTCTAGTCTGATGCCATTTTTTTCCTATGGTCATCGGCATTGAGAGTCTACAATCACAATAGCGAGTCCATGGAAATATACATGAGGCTGAGAGTGATAGATTTTCTTGAGGCCTAGAGATTTTCAAGAATCTGCATGAAGATGATTCTGGCTGACTATAGGGATTCTCATGCATGATGTACACTTCTCTTTGTGATTTTATTACTTTGATTCAAGGAAATTTATCTGATTTTCATGACTTCTGATTTCTTTGTGCTTTCGATCGAGTTTCATAATCAGCAGAATAAAAATGATCTTCATACATTGCCATTTATTTTAAACTTGAATAAAATTGTGAATCTTTCGCCCATTGTTTACAAGAAGAAAAGAGATATGGATAAACCAATACATGGGAAAGCTACTGGTTGGAATTTAAGTCAAGGTATTCCCTTGCTCTCATAATCATGGTTATACTTCCTGGATCTGCAGCTTCCATTTTCTAGAGTGTACTTACTATTGCACTTGACCTAATGATTTTTGAAATGCTTATAGCCTTGCAGAAACAAAATTTGTATCTATTCAGATGACAAATGTTGCTAATAAAGCTTGTCAGCCCTTCTAATGCAACATAACCTGGTCTCCTCAAGAAGCTTTCATCTGTTGAAGGATTATAAGTTGGCACATCTGAACAGCTTGAGTTGTAAACCTCCTACCAATCCATCCGAAGCCTCCCTATACGATGCATTCTTCTGATCTAAAGGGAAGGTGTTGCAACATGAGCAGCTGCCCAACATTGAGTGGTGCAAGCATTACCAGATTCTCATTTTGAGATTGATCATATTTTGTCAGAAAATTCTTGTCTACGCCTATGCTTAAGGATGTTTCAGTGCAGTATATTCCAACCATTATGCTGTCTTCAGTTGTGTGTATTCAATCTCATGATACTATACATTTTTTTGACATTTTGAGGAAGAGTTGCTTATTGCTAGGTGTAATAGGCAATGACTATTACAGCATAACACATTCCTTATTGCTTGATGTAAAAGTCAATGAGTATTACAACATAACACATCGTATAGTGTATGATCTTGCACATGATCTTGCGCAATTTATTTTGAGTTTTGGAAAATCTGATGCAGAGCATTTGCAAGATTTGTTACCTTGGATTTAAATCATTTGCAAGTTATATCTATTAATATTATTGTTTTTTGAGACTAATGCTTCGCTTGTCGTGTAGACGGGGCAAGTTTTTGAGCCTTTTTTTTTGTTTTGATTTTGGTAGATATTAAGCAGTTGCCAACATAAGTTAGCAAGTTAATACATTTGCTTTACCTTCATCAATCAATTAGTACAATCAATACTTTGTCGTGATCTGTTTGCAAGCTTTACACTTCAGAGATTTTGAGAGTCAAGGACCGCTACTCTCAATGACAACCTCTGGACCAGTTCAGTGATCTTGATAATCGTAAGGCTTTTTGATTTTTCCGCATTTTCATATATGAAATGTTGCTTGAAATGGGACGTTTTTCTTATCTTTAAACATTAAGATTCATTCATGCGAATCAAGACAAATGTCATCAGATTGAAGAATTGGTATAGCTAAATAAACCTTTTGGTAGGCTGACTTTCTGCTATCTTGACAAAGTCAAAGAAAAAGAAGCTGCTCAGAGGGCTGATTTGTTTAGAGAGACAAATTTGTACAAGTTGGAATTCAAGTGGAGTTGGGGTAGGAGATTAAGAATGAGAAGAATGAATGTGTTAAAAGGTACCTTGCCTCTACCAAGTTTAAAAAACTTACAATCGTACATTTGTGCAAGGCCAGTTACCTTCTTTGGTTGTTAGAATGGAAGCTCAACATAAACATCAGATCAACATCAGCAACTCCCCAAATGCTCGTTTAAACTATTTGGCAGGTTCAGGTCACCATTATTTAGTGACATCTGTCCGGACCAGGGGCAGATGTTCTTCTTCTTTTGTGTGCTTGTTGCAATTGACGATAAGGATGAAGATATCTAAGGGAAGAAAATGTTTACGCACTTCTTGTCAAAATGCAGCTGCAAAACACAGTAGTTTTGTCTTTTTGATCCGGTTAATAAAGAAGAGGGATAATAAATTTTGGAGCACTAACTTCATCAGCCAGTGTTAGTTCTTAAAACATCTGAAGTTCTTATACTTCCACTCCTTTGTTCTCTGTCTTTTTTAATTCCGCCTTATCTTCCAATACTGATATCGTTTGACGCTGAAGGAATTTTCCAATGATTAATCTGCATTTTCATTCATTATTATTAAAATCTAAAGCTCCATTCTCTCTTTAGAAAAGAATTCAGAGAAATCCGTCGTTTCATCTCCTACGGGGTGAAGTGAATTGTCGCTTGATTTGTCTTATACCATAAAATTGGATATACTCGGAAAAACACTTGAGTTTCTTGTAGGAGGTATCATATTGGACAAGCTTGCAGCCATTTGCAGTAGCTAATATTTGGAAGTTTTGATAATAGAACTGCTTTCTGGGATTGACCATAGAACTAGTTTGTTGTTGCCTACTAGTTGTTCGATAAAATGATTGTGAAATTGATTTTGATTTTTTTTATTGAACTTGAAATTGTAGATTGTGGTTCCTTTTTATTAGCTTGTTTTGTCACAAACTAATTTTCAGTCAATCTTTGATGAAAATATTATGTTGATGTTTCAGAAAAATGGTGGTATAGGTAAATTTGTGGCTAAAATGACTGTCTAACAAATTATTTCAGTCAATTTACATATTTTTGCTAGGTATCATAAATAATCCAAGGTGTAATGCATTCTTGTTGGAAGGAAGGATGGTATATTAATATCATATCCTACTAAAAGGAAAACTGGGTTCTTATTTGTCTTTCTTTTTCTATTCTTTTCTAGCTATTAAAGCATTAGAGTTTCTTTTATTAAAACATCTCAAATGGTCATCTTTAGAATTTACTTTCAAAAAAGAGAAATTTATGGAATTATATTGAAGTCCATAGTAATATGAGTCAAAATCATTAACAGATCAATCAAAACTAAAAACCAATATGCCTACATGAAGGTTTAGTTTGCTTTTGTGGGTTTCACTTTCATATTTACTTTTCATATTTAAAACATCTAAATGAGACTTGAAAAGGTTTTTCTCGAGTTTGGGAGTTATCATCATTGACATTTAGTTCTCTCATGCTTATTATGTTAGACAATGGATGACCTCGCACTAGAATATATATCATGAGTGCACTTTGTACTATTTCTAATCTCTTTCGCAACTTGACATTTTTGTTTGTGCATAAGAAACTCGTTTTTCTCATGGTATGCATTATGGTTAGCATACTTGAACATATTTGATCAAATCTGTCTACTTTTCCATCTTATTTTAGTGTACATATATTTTGCATTTTATGCTTTCTGAAATTAAATGGAGTGAAGGTGTTTAATATGTTGATGATTAAAGTATTTTAATTACTTATTTTTACATAGGTGCACTACTTAATATGATCTTGGGATGTGAGATGGAAGAACGGTATTGAGGTAATTGAAGAATTGCTCTCACAACTCTTGAATGTAAGCCCACATAGACTACTATAATTTAAGCATCAAAACCATTCCGGAGATGAGCTCCGATTCTGTATTGCTTCTTACCATGCCCGTAGGCTGGCAATTCGGCTCCACCGGATTTTTGCCAGCACACTTCGCTTTCTACCTTTCACCTATGTTTTCAAACTCGAACCGGGTATCGACTCGGTCAAACTCAAGGGTCAAAGGTCAACAGGTTCGATTGGAGTTGAACCAAATGATATCATAAATAAAAATTATTTAAAAATTAAAATATTGAACGTAAAATACCTAAGAGCATGTTACTATTAATAAAGATATATTCATATATATTTGATGTTTCAAATGTATTTAACAAGAAAATACAAAGAATTAGAACGATCAAATAGTAATTCATATTATTTAATGAACATTAACAAGTTTAGAATTAAAATTATGGACTTGATTGAAAAAATAATACCAAACTTTAGGACAACATTTATAAAGTATGAAATATTTGAGGTATATTAATAATTTTTAACAACCTAGGGATCAAAACATAATATTGAAAATGCTTTGACCTTTTAAGAAAAAACTTTGACACCAACCGGTTCTTCCGATTTTTCCGATCAAAATGGAATTTGACCGAGTTTGACTGAGTTTCTATCTATTCGATTTTGTATGATAACTCGGACTGAATACTTGGTCAGTTTTCAATTCAACCGATCAGACCAGTTAGTAGTTTAAAAACATAGCCCTTCACGCTATTCTTGATCTCTTCACCGGCTATAGCCACCCACCACCTCAATCATAGCAGAGCTTTGTGAATTTAGAAGGATAATTTTCCTTTTTATCTAATATTATCCATGCATGACGAATCTTGGATCGAGGAAGGATGCTATTCAAGATTGTATGTAACTCCAGAGGAAAAAACGTGTTCAACTTTGACCTAGAGTGGGCAAAAAAAAGGGTGTATTGAGGAAAATGAACAGGATAGTGAGAGTTACTGCAGCCAATTTAAAAATGTGTCTAACTTGTTAAATATGATCTTGGAATGTGCACTTACTTTTGTTGGAAATTTGTAGTCATGAGTGATTGTTATATATTTTTGCCACATATTCTTCTATGGGGTCTGTTAATAATTTGGCTAGTTTTGTTTCTTGGACAAATTTGAAGCATCAGTGGTCTATATTTGAGTCAACAAATGAGTTTGGTGGATGTGAGGTGTCATGAGGTGTCGTATTAATGTTTAATTTGGGGTAATTGAAATTTTGAATTAAAACATATGGAGGATGCTTTCATATTTTTATTTAGCTTTTCTGAATCTATATCAAAGGCACTGATTGTGTTTTTGCTAATATTGCAGGTGGATAATCATGCTCCTATCAACGAAATCAGTTCAACAACTTTGAAGTTACATTTAACATGATGAATTAGGACAAGGCTAATTTAATTTTGAGTATTGCAATATGAGTTAATTTTTCTTTTAAGTTCATTCTCACAAATAGTTGGGACAAGTACGATTACCACTAATTTGGTTAGCATGCTTGTAATGAAACTATTGTAAAAGTGTACAACAGTATTGTACCTATGAATTTAATTTTGTTATCATTGCTTCACTTCAAAAGGACTATATAAAGTAACCCTTTAGTTCAAGCAAACCCCATAGTATAAAGTATAACGTTAAACTCGACGTTCAAAATTATCTCATGGTATAAAAACTAATTAAAATTTCCCCAAGTTTGTGCAGTCCTCACAAATGTAATTGAATGTCCTTGACAAAACTTTATTTTGATAGGAAAACATAAAATTTTTCATTTATAAGATTTGCTGGAAATCGTCCAGACCTATTTGTTTGACAAAATCAGGTGGTGAGTAAACATTATCTAGCTTAAGAGAAATAAGGCCCTCCTCACCCCAAGTTTTAGTTATAAGGCTTTACTCATGGTCAAAGGCTATCCTCATATCTAGTTTTAGTTCTATGGTATTGGTGGAGCTCATAGGAGACTAAAATATTGTCAGTAATGATTCTACTTCGGATAAAAGCGCATTGGAGATTAGCGATAATGCTAGGTAGAAATGGTGTAATTCTATCTGCAATAACTTTTGATGATAATTTACAAACCACATTACAGAAATTGATGGCACGAAATTGTGTGATTTCCCGAGGTTTTCGTGATGGCACGAAAGTAAGCTATCATGACTAACAATATGTCAATATTTTTGGAAGAAAATATTCCCACCCCCGACAGGACCGGGGGAGACTCATACGGCTGCATTTTGGAAAGAGCATTGGTTACCCCTTTAGCTGAAAAAAGTTTCAAGAAGCCGCCCATCCATTTCTGCAGAAACCTTGGCTCTAACTCTCTCTAGCACCAATCTCAAGTCTCTCTCTGACGGATTCGAGTTGGCAAACAATTTCCCATAGTAGTCAACAATATTATATTCTCAATGCCCTACTTGACAAAACTATATTTATTTAATTCTCATTGAAATCTTTATATTCATTATGTGCAATATCAATAATTCTATATATTTTACTAATAGCAAGTCAAGAAGTCATAAAACAAAAAATACTATCTAATAAGAGAGGAG